GGGGGGGGGGGGGAAGAGAGGCACAGTGGGGTAGAGGCAAGGAAGAATGGTCAGAGGGACAGAACAGACAAATTATAATTATAAAAAGCTCGAATCTAATTTGTGGATTGTGCTCAGTGACCCGGTCTGTGAATTTGTGAGCCCAAGTTCCAAACCACTGCTTCTCAAACAGGATTTAAGGAATCTGGGAATTTAAGTCCACAGCAAGTGACCCCTATTTCCTTCACACTAGTCCAGCTGTGACTCCAGTCTCAAACCACCTTGATGACCTCCACAAAATCAAATTCCCACATCGACCCAGAGCCACCAGGAGGCATTGATGGCAATGAAGCTGGCAGTCCATTATCCTGACACCCGGGGGCTGGTGGATGCAGGGGAGCGGGGTCTCTGAGGTGGAGCCCCAATCAGCTGGGGGTGAGGGGATTGGGGGTGATTGAACTGTGACTGGTCAGTGGAAAAGCTTGGTCACATGATATCTTGGCACAGCCGGGACAACGAATGAAGAATGGCAAAGGCTCCAAATGTCAGCAGATCCTGCCTCCACTACCTTAGTGAGGTGCTGGGGGGAGGAGAGGGGGGTCTGGGGGTGGGGGGTGTTGGGGTAGGGGCGTATCCCAGTTTATAGTACCTAAGGAATCATAACCAGGATCCAGTTCAGGGACAGATCGCAGGGGCTCATTATCAACAACACTTTATACTGATATCTGAATCAAGGGGTTCCCATCTCAGCATTAGATCAGGGAGCCCAGTGCCAGTGTCCGGATGAATGATGCTGTAATCAGGGTCTAAACCCTGATGTTTCTATCTCCGACACATGGGCTAACACTCGCCCAGCCCTGGCCACTTACCAAACTGCTCACTGCTGTTCGAGATGCATCGTCGAAGTGTCACATCAAGAATGAGGGGAGGTTGACAAGAACAGTAATAGGATCCAACTGTGTTCACACACTCGCCGTTATCACAGGCAGTCTCTTCCTCACACTCATCATTATCTGTCAGGGTAGGGGTGGGGAGACACACACTTTGAATCTTTGACAAGCTGTACCAAACCTGCTTCCCCATTCTGTGTGGGGAGAGCCCTGAGCTACAAGACATGGGAGAATACTGTCCAGCATACAGCCAATTGGCTTTCAATGGCAGGCCCCTCAGTAACAAACTCAGTCTGGCCTGTCAGCTGATTGACTGTAACCCCGAGCCCCACTTCTACCCCCTCCCCACCCACTACCCCCTCCTCATACTCCAGCACCAATCCCAAATCAAAATCATTGGGGGAACATGGACTGGCATCAGGACAATCGCAAAACGCTGTGGGTGACTCTTCGTGCTCATGATGTCATGGGGTCAGGCCAATCCAGGGTAATCCATAGAATTCTCAAACTGTCTGACTAACAGTTCCTCGAATACACTGTTAGTGAAGGTCCCGAGGTACCAACTGTCAAAAATCAGGGTGAGATCAGAAAGTGAGATTGAATAAGGCAATCTGTGAAAAGCAATAGTGGAATGGAAAAGAAGTGGGGAAATGCAAATCAACCATTCAAATTGTATGCTGGGGAAGTACACTGTAGGTCAGAATCAGGGCATAGCTGGATGACAGACACCCTGCATGGCATGTCTCGCCTGATGCCCGTCTATCTCAACTCTCCGCCAACATTCAGCTCGAGCCCTCTCTCAAAACCGTCATAAAAACATCAATCTGTTTCCTGCCTCCTTAAATCAACACTCACCAATGCACTCCAGCCGAATGGAGTGGTAATAATAGCCGGTCGGACAGTAACAGGAATAACCAGGAACTGTGTTCACACAGACGCCATTCTTACAGACCTCAGATCCGAACAGGGAACATTCATCAGCATCTGTGAGCAAGGGAACCAAATGAACAGCCAAGCGAGAGATTACTGCAAACTCAACAACATTTTACTCTGCACAATAAGGATCACTCACTGTGTAACTGTACAGGGTCAGGGCCACTCACTGTGTCAGGTATAGACAGCAGGGATCGAGCGAATTCCTAGAAGGGTATAAAGGCAGTAGGAATATGCTTAAGTGGATAATCAGGAGGGCAAAAATGGGACATGAGATACCTTAGGCAATTAGGGTTAGGGAGAATCTAAAGGGATTCTATAAATACATTGAGGACAAAATGGTAACTAGGGAGAGAATTGGGCCCCTTAAAGATCAGCAAGGCCACCTGTGTGTGGAACAGGGGATGGGGAAGATACTAAACAAGTATTTTGCATCGATGTTTACTGTGGAGAAGAACATGGAAGAAAGAAAATGTGGGGAAATAAATAGCAACATCGTGAAAAATGTCCATATTACAGAGGTGGTGGTGCTGGACGTCTTAAAACGCATAAACATGGATAAATCCCCAGGTCCTGATCAGGCGTACCCTAGGACTGTGTGGGAAGCTAGGGAGGTGATTGCTGGGCCCCTTGCTGAGATATTTGTACCATCGATAGCCACAGGTGAGGTGTCGGAAGACTGGAGGTTGGCTAACATGATACCACTATTTGAGAAAGGTGGTAAGGAAAAGCCAGGGAATTATAGAACGGTGAGCCTGACATCGGTGGTGGGCAAGTTGTTGGAGGGAATCCTGAGGGGCAGATTTACATGTATTTGGAAAGGCAAGGACTGATTAGGGATAGTCAACATGACTTTGTGCGTGGAGAAATTGTGTCTCAACAACTTAATTGAGTTTTTTGAAGAAGTAACGAAAAGGATTGATGAGGGCAGAGTGGTGCACATGATCTATATGGACTTCAGTAAAGGCATTCAACAAGGTTCCTCATGTAGACTGGTTAGCAAGGTTAGATCACATGGAATGCAGGGAGAACTAGCCATTTGGATACAGAACTGGCTCGAAGGTAGAAGACAGAGGATGGTGGTGAAGGGTTGCTCTTCAGACTGGAGGCCTGTGACCAGGGGTGTGCCACAATGAACGATGCTGGGTCCACTGCTTTTCATCATTTATATAAATGATTTGGATTTGAACATAGGAGGTACAGTTAGTACGTCTGCAGATGACACCAAAATTGGATGTACAGTGGACAGCGAAGGAAGTGACCACAGAGTACAATGGAGTCTCAATCAGATGGGCTGATGGACCGAGGATTGACTGATGGAGTTTAATTCAGATAAATTTTGGAAAGGCAAATCAGAGCAGGACTTATACACTTAATGGAAAGGTCCTGGGGAGCGTTACTGAACAAAGAGACCCTGCAGTGCAGGTTCATAGTTCCTTGAAAGTGGAGTCACAGGTAGATAGGACAGTGAAGAAGGAATTGGTACTTGCCTTTATTGTTCGGTGCATTGAGCATAGGAGTTGGGAGGTTAGGTGTGGCTCTACAGGATATCAGTTAGGCCACTATTGGAATACTGTGTGCAATTCTAGTCTCCCTGATATAGGAAGGATATTTTTTTTCCTTTATTCATTCACGGGATGAGGACATCGCTGGCTAGGACAGCATTTATTGCTCATCCCTAATCGTCCAGAGGACAGTTGACAGTCAACCACATTGCTGTGGGTCTGGAGTCACATGTAGGCCAGACCAGGCAAAGATGGCAGTTTCCTTCCCTGAAGGACATTAGTGAACCAGACGGATTTTTCCGACAATCGACAATGGATTCATGGTCATCATTAGATTCTTAATTCCAGACATCTATGAAATTCAAATTCCACCACCTGCCATGGTGGGATTCAAACCCAGATCCCTAGAACATTATCTGGGTCTCTGGATTAACAGTCCAGCGGTAATACCACTAGACTATCGCCTCCCCTTGTGAAACTTGAAAGGGTTCAGAAAGAATTACTAGGACATTGCCAGGATTGGAAGGTTTGATCTATAGGGAGAGGCTGAATAGGCTGGGGCTATTTTCCCTGGAGCGGGAGACTGAGGGGTGACTTTATAGAGGTTTATAAAATCATGAGGGGCATGGATAGGATGAATAGGCAGTCTTTTCACTGGGGTGGGAGAGTACAAAACTACAGGGCGTAGATTTAAAGTGAGAGGGGAATAATTTAAAAGGGACGTAAAGGGCAACCTTTTTTTGCAGAGTGGTGCATGTATGGAGTGAGCTGCCAGAGGAAGTGGTAGAGGCTGGTATGATTACAACATTCATTCTGGATGGGTATATGTTCTGGAAGGGTTTAGAGGGATAAGATTCATAGAATCCTACAGTATGGAAACAGGCCTTTTGGCCCAACAAGTCCACCCCGACACTCAGAGCATCCCATCCAGACCCACCCCCTAATCTACACATCCCTGAACAATATGGGCAATTTAGCATGGCCAATCCACCTAACCTGCACATTTTTGGATTGTGGGAGGAAACCCGAGCACCCGGAGGAAACCCATGCAGACATGGGGAGAATGTGCAAACTCCACACAGACAGTCGCCCAAGGATGGAATCGAACCCAGGTCCCTGGCGCGATGAGGCAGCAGTGCTAACTACTGAGCCACCATGCCGCCCCAAATAAGGGCCAAATGCTGGCAAATGGGACTAGATTAATTAAAGATATTTGGTCAGCATGGGGGAGTTGGACCAAAAGGTTTGTTTCCATGCTGTATATCTCTATGACTCTACAAATGAATCTTTTCGTGTTGGTCTGGATGCTGTAGGTACTTGAGAGGATCAGATTGCTACTGCGTTGTTGCCATCCTGTGGCAATAATGGAGTGTTGCAAGTGAAACATGCCATTGTAAGCAAGTCTGAGGCTTGCTTTCCTCCAATGATGTCAAGAAGACTGTTTGTCTCTGAGAAACATTGTGTTTGCAGTTTGAATGGACTCTGTACAGGGCAGCAAGAGCAGAGATTATGACTGAAGTCAGTAGTTACTAATGTCTTCAGGATGGACAACGTCTCATTAAAAGGTGAGCAGTCTTGATGGGCTGAAAGTCTAATTCTGCTTCATCTTATGGTCAGCGTAGAGCAGGTGAGGGAGCAGTTGGCAGGAACTGGTCATTGAACGATTATTGGGACTTTCCCTCCACTGCTGATGGGGCCAGTAAGAGTGTTTCAAACAGAGTTCCTTCCCCAGATAAGCAAGAGTCGCGCTCTGATTCTCCAGTTTCCCGAGTTCAAAGACTGTTCCCACCTGTGAACTCACCTTTGTAGTTCCTTCCAAATGATGACTGTGGGATGGAGAGAAATCCTTGCCCTTGAGGACACAGAGACTGATATTCATCTGGAGAAGATACAAGAGGGAAAACATTCAGGTGCAGGAACATGAGATTCTGCAATCGACAGTAAAGATTAACAAGTGATGGAAATGATTCATAAGTGACAGTAAAAGTTAACTAGTGATGGCAAACATTAACTCCAGTTTCATGCACACACACTTACCCGAGCCAGGGACAGGACACTGGTAGATTCGGCACTCTCTCCCCCAGCCCTCGCCCACAGTGCAGCAACATTCCTGTCTTGTGACATTCCGTGCCAGAATGTTTTCACATAGCTGCACGTCGTTTAAGTTGTAGTAACACTCATTCTCCTCCCTCATGGTCTCTCCCAGGAACATCGGCCGGCCTGGAAAAGGCAGCAGGGTCAGAAGATAAATCAGCATATGACCAGTAAACCTCTGAGGCACTCGCTTTCACCAACTTTGCCTCATCTATTTATACAAAGGATCATGTACCAATCAACCCAAAGAGTTCATACTACGACTTACCCTCCACTCAAAAAATAATTCTCACCACTTCATAAACTAATCTAAAAATAATTCAAAATGAATAATTCCAATCACATCAATCCATTTTGATTGTCAGCTAATTATTCTTCCTCCTTGAATCCCAGTTAACCCCAAAGTTCATATTGTTTCTGCTCAAACACCAATCTTCAGAGTGATTTCAAGCAAATACAAGCTGTCAGCAGCTACCTCCCTCTCTCTCTTCAAAATCCTACCTTGATTCATGCATCTGAGTATTGAGGGGAGGTTCTGGATCAATTTTCCTCTATGCCCAGAGATTACTGAATGAAGCAGCAGAGTACAGATCCATTCTCAGTTGTTTCTGTCTGGTGCTCTCTCCCCTCTCACTCATGATCAGTGTTTGCCCACGTCTGTGTATCTTGTCTTGTATCAGATGTCCGAGGAAACACATTATACTACAATTCCCTCTCCCCTCAGTGCCCCATTGGACTGATTTGGAGCAGGACTCCTGGGCGATATCTGTTAGCTCAACATGGTCTCTGACCTTCCTCAGGGAAAGCACGTTTATCACAACAATGTTCTCACTCATTTTTCGAGCTGCTTTGCACAGAATCCAGGCTTGGCTGAACCTGACAGAGATGTCACTAATGTACAGGTGTGAGTTGGAGCACACACCTCAGTATGGCTTTCCCAAGGGGGAGATGTTACCCTGGTCTAGACGGAGAGGAAATCAGGAATACAGCAGCCAGTATAGGTACCCGGGACAGGTCGTCGATTGCACCGTCCTGTCCTTGGCTCAAACTCTTCATTTTCATCCAGACAAAGACAGAAGAATGAACCGGCCACGTTCTCGCAGACTGCAGAGCCACAGACACCCTCGATAGTCTCACACTCGTTCACATCTGCAAAGGGACGGCAAGTTTTACGGTGAAGATTTAGCTGAATTTGAACCAATTGTCTATGTGCATAGATCACTGAAAGTTGCCACCCAGGTTGATAGCGTTGTTAAGAAGGCGTACAGTATGTTAGGTTTTATTGGTAGAGGGATTGAGTTTCGGAGCCATGAGGTCATGTTGCAGCTGTACAAAACTCTGGTGCGGCTGCACTTGGAGTATTGCGTACAGTTCTGGTCGCTGCATTATAGGAAGGATGTGGAAGCATTGGAAAGGGTGCAGAGGAGATTTACCAGGATGTTGCCTGGTATGGAGGGAAGGTCTTATGAGGAAAGGCTGAGGGATTTGAGGCTGTTTTCGTTAGAGAGAAGAAGGTTAAGAGGTGACTTGATAGAGACATACAAGATGATCAGAGGATTAGATAGGGTGGACAGTGGGAGCCTTTTTCCTCGGATGGTGATGGCTAGCATGAGGGGACATATCTTTAAATTGAGGGGTGATAGATATAGGACAGATGTCAGAGGTAGGTTCTTTACTCAGAGAGTAGTAAGGGCGTGGAATGCCCTGCCTGCAAAAATAGTAGACTCGCCCACTTTAAGGGCATTTAAATGGTCATTGGATAAACATATGGATGATAATGGAATAGTTTAGGTTAGATGGGCTTCAGATTGGTTTCACAGGTCGGCGCAACATCGAGGGCCGAAGGGCCTGTACTGCGCTGTAATGTTCTATGTTCTATGTTCTAATTGCATGACAGTCACTTTTGTGTCCTGAATTTCATTCCCTGGCTCTTAACTCAGAAAACATCTCAGACTCACTTCAGCTCAGGTTTAACAATCTTCAGGTTGTGATTACAATACTGCGAAGTTCAAAAAGTAAGAAACATTTCACACTGCAGCTTCTCACCTTTCTCCGTGAATGTTGGGCACTTATCACACCTCAGCCACTGTCCTCACAGGCACCTCCCAGCAGGAGGTGGTGGTCAGTTTGACTGAATTTGCTTCCTTTAGTAAGTCATTGTGGATTTGCTAAAGGCACAACGTGTGCAAACATCATAATTAAGAGCATTGATGGAGAAATAAACAGTGTTAACGAAAGTACTGCGCTAAATGGATGCGTATAAGAAATTGTATAAGAAATCAAGCGTCATGTGGCAAAGGTAACCACATAATACAATTAATGACAGGAATGGAATGCCTTCAAACTCTCTGCCGCGCTCTTCTTTTAAGATGATCCTTAAAATCCATTTCATTGACAAGGTGCTGATAACCATCTTAAAAGCTCATTCTGTGGGTCAGTGTCAAATTTGGTTTGTTAATCACCCTTGAGAGTCACCTAAGCTGCTAGGCTAAAGGTTCTATAAAACAAAAGATATTGTTGTTGTTGTAAAAACTTGTTAGCAAAATTAAAGCTGCTAAGGGACCAGAACAGAAAGTAAAGTAATGTACACAAAAGCAATATATTGCAGATGCTGGAACTCCAACATAAAAACAGAGTGCGAGAGCACGGGCGAGAGAGAGAGAGAAAGACACCAGACTTTGTGTTTCAGGGTTAATGACAGGAAATAAGTGTAGGGTGATATTTTGGAGGGTCAGGATTAGGACGCCTACTCTTTTTGATTTACATTAATGGTGTGAACTTGGGTAGATGGGCATTACCTCAAACTCTGAGCTGTTGACACATGCTATCCTCCCTGCCCAGCCTGAACCGTAAGGTCTCTCTCCTCCCTCTATAATGATACCATAAAGTTTATATTTCATTTTTCATTTTGCCCAATTGAAAAAAAAACATCATGTCACACGTCTCAGCAATAAATTTAACTTCCCCGTACATCAGCCCATCTCCCCAGCTGGTCTAAATCCACTTGAAATCTGTTTTATTCTTCCAACAATTTGCTACTTTTCTGAGGTCCATTTTACATAGCTGCTGTCACACAGTGTCAGTCAGATGTGTCAGTCATCCCACATTGTCCACATCATTAGCCACAGCTGGAAACAGTCAGGCATTCCCACTTGCTGTCAATTTGTCCACAGCCCATGTGACTTACCCACACACCGCGAACCATCTGATGTCATCTGGTAACCCTGGTCACAGTGGCACTGGTAGGAAGCAGCTACGTTCTGACAATATGCATTCAACCCGCAAATTGTGGCATTGACACATTCATCGATATCTGTGAGAGGTGGCAAAGAAAGTGGTTTACTCACTTACATAGATAACATACTCATTGTGGCACACTGCCAGGGCTGCACTGCTAGAGTCATACTGGCAGAGTCAGAGCAGCACCAGCTGGGTCCCACTGGCAGAGCCATACTCTAGCTACAGCCACTGATCCACAGCCTGAAATTTCCAGCAGTTTGTGTCATTTGAATGTTATTGTCCTTGTTGGGCTGTCCATTGCTAGTTCCTGCTTCTAGGCTCTGCCTTGGTGCTGACACAGTGTTGGTGCAGTTTATCAGCAGCACCTGAGTTTAAAAGTGCTGCTGTTCTCTGGACATCTGCATGTCTCGTCAAGTATCCTATCGCTATACATGTGTAATAACAAAACTCAGACACAAATCAACACAACATGCCTTGGCAGAAATTTTGGCATGAAATCCAGTTGCTTTTATCTCCCTGAGGATTTGGAACAACTCACCAATGCAGTGCTGAGCTCAGTGATACACTTGAAGGAGCCAGCAGTATTCTCACATGGTTTGCTCCCACAGATGTAGTATAGGAATCAATTTAACTTCCAACTGGACAGAGGGGTTCAGAGTCAGGGACATCATTTACAATCAGGCACAGGAAGCCAATCACATTCAATGTGTGGGGAGGGGCAACTTGCCTTCAGTGGGGGTTTAGTGGCTCCTGCTCCTCTCTGAAGGAATGTTGAGAGCTTTTAGCTTTGGTGCAGCACCCCACCCCCAGTTTATTAATAACTTCAAGAGGATCTACAGGGAACGTGGTCATGGCCTTGAGACTCTGGCCTCAGACTTTGCAGCACAGAGCATAATTTTATACTGCAGCCTCCAGTCCAAGCTCCTGTACTTTGTCTCTCCTTCTTCTTTTCCCCATTCCCTCTCTCCTATTCAATCCCTATGTTAATCTGCTCTCCCCCAGGTCACACCGCCATTTCCATTCTCGCCCTCCTGTCTATCACACCCTTCAAATTCATCCATCTTCCTCCTTGCTCTCTCCCTCACACACAAAATCTTTCATCTTTGCAAATTTGATTGAATTATTCCCAGTTTGCAGTAATATGACCAATTCAGTTTAAGAGCTGGCAGTTGGGATTCAGTTTCTGAAACTTGGATTTCCTGCCAATCAGCCTTCCTTTGGAGTCTGGCTCTCAGTCTGATCACTCAAACAGCCAGTCATATCCAGGTCAGCATAAGTTTCGTTTCTCACCCCATCCACATTAGAACAGCACAAACCTGGAGATGATTCTAGCTCAGACTTATCTGATCACAGCCCACAGTTTAGACCATCAGCACTCAGAATGCTCATCCTGTGGCAGGGCTGTAGTAAACGTCTGATCACAGCTCCCCAGTTCTCCAGATTCAGGATGGGGACCAAACCCCATGTTGTTCCAATCCACATCGGCTCTCTCCGCTCAGGGGGCCTGAGTTACTGTGGCAATATACGCACTACACGAGTGACAAAGTCTGGGGCCTTAGATAGTGATGGGAGTGGCTCCGATCTCATACCATCCCAGGGCTGCTCAGGAATCTCTCTCACTCTTTCTGCAGCATAAAGACAGGCCCTTCAGCCCAAACTGGTCCATGCCGAGCAAAATGTCCATCCATGCTAATCCCATTTCCCTGTACTTGGCCCATATCCCTCTAAATCTTTCCTACCCATGTATTTGTCCAAATGTCTTTTAAATATTGTTAATGTATCCACCTCAATCATTTCTGCTGGCAGCTCATTCCATATGCATACCACCCTCTGTGTAAAAAAGTTGTCCCTCAGGTTCCCATGTATTCTTTCCCCTCTTGCCTTAAACTGATGCCCTCTAGTTCTCGATTCCCCAGCCCTGGGAAAAAGACTGAGTGCATTCACCCTATCCATGCCTCTCATGATCTTATACACTTCTATAAGATTCCCCCTCAGTCTCCTGCACTCTAAAGAAAAAAGTGCTAGCTTGTCCAACCTCTCCCCATAACTCAGTCTCTTAAGTCCTGGCAACATCCTTGTAAATTTCTTCTGCACTCTTTCCAGTTTAATAACATCCTTCCTATAGCAAGGTGACCAAAACTAAACACAATACTCTAAGTGCGGCCTCACCAACGTCCTGTACAACTGCAACATAACTTCCCAACTTCTATACTCATTGCCCTGACTGATGAAGGCCAGTGTGCCAAACGCCTTCTTCACTGCCCTGTCTACCTGTGACTCCACTTTCAGAGACTCCACTTCCAAGATCCCTCTGTTCCACTACAGTCCTTAAGGCCTACCATTGACCATGAAACTCCTACCTTGATTTGACATTCCAAAATACAACCTCACATTTATCTATATTAAACTCCATTGCCATTTCTCGGCCCACTTCTCCAGCTGATCAAGATCCTGCTACAATTTCTGATAACCTTCCTCACTGTCCACAATACCACCCATTTTAGTGTTATCTGCAAACTTACTAATCATGCTTTGTACATTCTCATCCAGATCATCGATATAGTTGCAGGATGGGTCTGGGTGGGATGCTTTGAAGGTCGGTGTGGACTTGTTGGGCCGAAGGGCCTGTTTCCACACTGTAGCGATTCTATGATGATCATAACAAACAGCAATGGGCCCAGCACCAACCCCTGACGCATACCACTAGTCACAGGCCTCCAGTCCAACAAGCATCCTTCCACTATTACCCTCTGCTTCCTACAATCAAGCTAATTGTGTATCTAATTAACAAGGTGTAGAGCTGGATGAACACAGCAGGCCAAGCAGCATCAGAGGAGCAGGAAAGCTGACGTTTCGGGCCT